ATGTGAAACCTATGAGCAGAGTTTTATCTAAAAAATGTTAATCAGCTAGGTTTATGGAGACCTTGGGCTCCTGCTGTGGTGCTGTAGGCTCAGCACTGGACTGTGAACCACAAGATTGTCCGTTCAAATCCACCAGCTGCTCCTTGGAAACCCTATACAGGGTTGCTATGAGTTCAAAGTGACTCGAAGGCACAATAGGTTTCTTTTAAGGAGCCCTGGTGTGGTGCTTCAGGATAGTGCACTGGACCACGAGGTCAATTTGAACAGCAAGGTTGGCTGCTCAAATCCACCAGCAGCCCCTTGGAAACCCTATACAGGGTCACTATGAGTTGGAACCAACTCAACAGCACTAACAATAACAAGGCTTCTTTTAGTCTTAAGTTATTTCATGCTTACTTTAGATTTTTCAGGCCATTGGGAACTGCATTTTGTTTTCCCGTATAATTAAAAGATGCTACCACAACAAAGGTCATTTTGTTTGTTTGTTCCTGTGGAGCTCTAGGATAAACACCCGACTGCTAACCATAACCCACCAGCCACCCCCTGGAAATGCTATACAGGGTCACTATGAATAGGAACCAACTTGATGGCACACTGAGTCCGGGTTTCACTCTGTAAGATAAGCACTGGACTGCTAACCACAAGTTGAGTGGTTCAAGACCACCAGCCACTTCTCAGACCCTATACAGGACTGCTGAGTCAGAATTGAGTCATTGGCACTTAACAGCAACAATAATTGTTGCAGTCATCAGGTTCTGGGCCATCAATACAGTTGGTGATTATGAATCGGTACATGTGGTTCCAATATGGATGATTAGATTGGAAACCAAGACTCAGGTCCTAGACAGAAGTGAATACAACTCATATCAGACATAAAATCTGTAACTTGAGACCAACATCATGGAGGGGAGGAGAAGGGATTTAAAGAAATTGTGACTAAATAATGGAATGAAAAGAAAATGGATTTTCTCCATGAGCTTTTTGAAGCTCCCTCAAACTGTTTCAGTTAGCCATTTTCATATTTTCCATAAATTAATCCATAGGTAGTATCATGGGTCTTGCACATAATTAAATCACTGAATCTAATTATGCCCCTCTTTTCTTCTGGTCTTTGAAAATATCATGAAAACCTTTTTCATATACTGATTTATCTAATAAAGTCTTAAAGGAGCTCTGATAGCGTGGTGGTTACAAATCAGGCTGCTGACCTCAAGGTCAGCACTTTGAAACTACCAGCTGTTCCACAGGAGAAAGATGAGGCTTTCTGCTCCCATAAAGATTTACAGACTCGGAAACCCTATGCAAGGTCGCTATGAGTTAGAACCAACTTCACAGCATACCACCAACCAACCAACCAATAAATAAGGTCCTGGTGTGGCGTTGCAGGTTAATACGCAGAACTGCGAGGTCGATTTGAACCACAAGGTCAGTGGTTTAAGCTCACCAGCTGCTTCTCAGAAACCCTATACACACTCACCATGAGTCAGAACCAACTCAATGGCACTTAACAATATACTACTACTACTTTCAAGAATTGAAAAAACACAACAAAACATTCCAAACTTAACAACAGTAGGCTTTGGAATGTTGTTGTTGTTTTTAATTCTTGAAAGTTGTTGTTGTTGTTGTTAAGTGCCATCGAGTCGGTTCCGACCCATAGCGACCCTGTACAGGGTTTCCGAGGGTGTAAATCTTTACGGGAGTAGAAAGCCTCATCTTTCTCCCGCGGAGCGGCTGGTAGTTTCGAACCGCTGACCTTAAGGTTCGCAGCCCGATTCGTAGCCACTACGCTAAGTGCCATCAAGTTGGTTCCAACTTATAGTGACCCCATATAGTTTTCAAGGAGCAGCTGGTGGGTTTGAACAGCCAATCTTGTGATTCGAAGCCCAGTGCTGATCCTACAGTGGCACATCAAAGCTTAACTGTTGTTGTTGTTAAGAGCATCGAGTCGGTTCTGCCTCACAGCAACCCTATACAGGGTTTCCAAGGAGTAGCTGGTGGATTTGAACGGACAATCTTGTGGTCCACAGTCCAGAGCGTACAGCACCACACCAGTAGCCCAAGGTCTCCATAAACCTAGCTGATTAATATTTTTTGTGGTTCGCAGTCCAGCGCTGATCCGCAGTGCTACACCGGAATGCTAAGCCTGATTCGGTAGTCACCACTATTAAAGAAGAAAACTAAACTGTTAAAGCAGGAAATAGATAATAAAAGACAGATCACATTTAGACAAAGACATGGTTACTTTTTTATTTGAAGAAAAGTAAAGTATGTTTTAATAAATACTGCAGAAACATTGACCAAACATACAAAGTGACTTCAACATTAAAAAAAAAAACAAAATGCAACTAAAGTTCTGTTTGATAACAGTTATAACTTATTTTCTTTTTACAATATTTAAATACAGAAAGCACTTACCAGCTATTTTGTAATACTGCCCAAAGCATAATGCTGCATCAATCAAAGCATATTATGTTGGTAAAATGTCTGTATTTCATGGGAAATGATGGGAATGGTATTTTCTTGCAGAGACAAAACAAAGTGCTTGTAAGACATAGAACTGATTGTTGTAATTACTTTCATCTCCTCTCCTGCCACAGTTTAAGGAGAACACAGCTTTAACACTTCAAAAATGAAGCATTATCATTGGAAAGAAAGCTCGTTTTCAACAAGCACCAACAATGAACAGGTCAGATCTGGTTTCTTCTCTGAAAGAAGCGCTAGGAAGAACTGGTCAAAAAGCATCTGTAAACTGTTTTAAATGCTGATTACTTTATGTAGCAACAGCAGTCAAGTACTGAACACAGGACTTGGCTGAATCTGGTTAAACTAGGTCTAACAACTATGCTCTTGAAAGGGCTTGCTATTTTGTCAATACAAATTTTTCCTCTGTGATGGTGGTTATGTGTTGTGGAGTCGATTCTGACCTATAGTGACCCTGCATAGGGTTTCCGAGGCTGTAAATCTTCACGGGAACAGAAAGCTTCATTTTTTTTTCCCTTGGAATCTCTGGTAGTTTCGAACTACTGACCATGAGGATTAGCAGCCTGACTTGTAATCACTAAACTACCAGAGCTACTTTTCCTCTAGGGATTCCCTAAAACTTATTGTGTAAATATTCATTTAAAGAAAGTGAAGCAAACCAACAGCTGATCAGATGCAGTCAATTTTACAGCTCCATCTCAAATAAAATGTAAAATAGGCCTTTTGCTTTGTACTTTTGGTGACTTCAGTCCAGACACCTTGACTCACAAACTGTGCTTTCTGTGACTACTCCTTCATTCGTTATCACTTCTGGTGAAAATAGTACCCACATCGTTTCCCGCCCCCATCTTGGATCATTCTATGACCTCAAACCAAGACACCTTTCATTTGACTTTGCATTTTTATCAACGATGGCAAACAACAAAACCAAAACAAAACCACACACCCTCTTTTCTAAACAGAGCACAAAAATATTACATTGAGCAATTTACCACTTTTTAATGACAATCACAATGATGAACAAGCCATCAGACTGAATAAAAATTGACACTTTTTTTTTTTTTTTCCTATTTGATCTATTCCATCTTTGTCGTGTTGGTCTGCATATCTTGCAAGACTGCATATGCTATCTTCAGGAAGGCAAGGTTTCAAAGCCTCAGAAAGTTTTTCCTCTGGATACCCCATGGGTCCTGATACAATTTCCATTTTAATGATGAGCTGGGAGGAAATTAGATCACATCCTCTAGAAAACTAAATGCTAAGGTCACAGTGCCAGTTCCCCAATGAGGACGGTATATTAATATATACTTTTTGTAAAGGAGATTAAAACATTTAAAAATTAAATCAAAGTAGAGATCCATGAATAAATTGTAACAAAGAAACACGCAAGCACCATTCAGAGTAATTTTTCTTCTCAGAGGCACAAGCACTCGCTCTCCTCCTTTCTATCCATAGCCCATTTCAATCTCTCGGTTTTTTGGCATATTTTTCAAGTCACATCTCAAAACTCTTCAATGTAGTCACTTCCCACCACTTGGTCTACATGCCGAAGCCAAGAACAGGATTCCAAAAAGATGGGCATCCTTTCAAATACCTCCTAAGCCTCCAGTATACAGGACTTGGGCGGTGCACTTTGTTCAGACTTCACCTTTTTGTTTTGTTGATGTTTTTTTACACTAGATTCCCTTGTCCTCATTAAGGATTACGGAAGATTCACATCACAGTGCAACTCTTGGCTTTGTCCTTTCGTAAGTCCGTAGCAACTGACGAGAGTTCTGGTCTGCTAGGCATGTGTGAAATCCGCTTTGTAGCCCTCTGTGATTTGTTACGCTTAACGTTCTTATTGGTCTTGTTTACACACGCCAAGGTAGCAACGTGAAAAATGTCTCTGACGCTATTTTCAGACTGCAAAGATGAGCATTCAATGTAAGTGGCTGCTCCAATCTGTTTGGCCATATTTGCCCCCTGAGAAACAAAGGAAAGGATTTTTAATTGCAATACATCTTTGGGGAAAGTTCCAATGATAGCAAAAAATAGCAATGCATTGCAGAAAGATTTCTAATGCTGCACTTTCCAAGTATTGATTTACCTTCCTAAATATTAACAATCAAAATCAAGTCCTAAGAAAAGATGCTCAATTATCATCACTCAATAGACACTTTTTGATTCCTTTTAGGTGCTGCCAGCTAATCTAGAGTCACTAGGTCATCAACTAATGAGGGCTTGGTGATCAACTACTTACTATGAGGTGATTCAGAGAAGAAGGAGAGGTGATTCATCTTCACTATCAACTGTAACCAAGAGTAACTGGAAGCCTAGGTCTTCCAGGTCAAAGCAAAGAATTACAGTTTGAGTAAGTCATGAACATAAATTATACATTTTCCACATGGTTCTGGCAGAGAGATCTATCCCATAAAGGCTGCCACAGCACTGCATGGGACATTCAGTTTCTCTCTTTGTGAGTGTAAATGGCACTCGATGCCAGTCTATAAGTAGTAAAAAATAACGGAGTTTAGAATCAATTTTGAAATTTATGTGACTATGTCTTAGGGCTCAAATACTGAGAGGACATCTAGAACCTTTTGTTGTTGCTAAGTGCTTTTGAGTTGTTCTGACTCATAGCGATCCTATATAGAGTTTCAGAAGAGCAGCTGGTGAGGTTGAACCGCTGACCTTGAGATTCAAACAGACCTTGCAGTCCAGTACATTAACCCACAGCGCCACAACAGGACTCCTCTGTAACCTTATAACCTTAAGAAACACAAAATAATCCCCAAATATGGACAGTAGAGACAAATAATTATCAGATGAGCATGAGAATGACTTAAATAATCACATTTTTGTTAATTAGATATGCAAGACAAAGAAGCCTATGGGATTTAAAAAATGATAAATGCTAAGCAAAATTCTTGCTATTCCAAGAATGTAGTGGCAGATTTTAAGAGAATGAACTTCAACAGCCTTCATTTTTCAGTCTTTTCTTCTACAACTGACTGCAACTAAGATGAACCCTTCCGATTTTGAACACATTCTCTTAAAGTTAATATTTAACTTTTAATCCAGAAGCAATTGCAGAGATATACAAGGACAATACAAATATACATTTGAATTACCCTTGTATGTAGTTAGTAATAATTTCAGTACTAAATAAAAAAAATTTCATATTTTATATTTACAAATTTGTTGTATTTGTACACACAAAGATGAATTCTTTTACAGCAAACCATTGAAAGGAGTCCTGGTGTGGCACTGTAGGCCAATGCTCTGGAATGCAAGTTCGATTTGAACTTAAGGGTCAGCAGTTCAAGCACACCAGCTGCTCTTTGGAAACTGTATACAGGGTTTCTATGAGTTGGAACTGCTTCAATGGCACTTAACAACAACAACATGCCATGGGAAAGTATTAGGATGCCTTGTGACAGAGTTCAGTATCAAACTGTCATTCATACCTTGTCCCAAGATGATTCAGTATTCACTCTCGTTTTAAAAGTCACCTGAATTCAGTATTGCATGGGGATGCTTAGATACTGCCTGTAAAGCGCAGTAACAGAATCAGCAGCAACTTTAAATCTGTGCTTGCAGAGGGTCACAATGTGGATAACAGGATGTGCATTCTGCTCCTTGTAAAGGATCTGTATTCTGGAGCTGACTATAGGTTAATCCCTTTGAGAAGCAGCTATTTTTTATTCGATTCACTGTAAGTGATATTCTGTTTCTCTCATGCTTCTTAAAATCTACATTTGCACACTGGCAGTATACATACCTGGTCATATGACACTGGCGTCTGCCTGTGATTTGAGAGCTCTACTAATGTACTAACATCTGTCCGGAGGTCAGACTTGCAGCCAACCAACAGCATTTTGGTATTGGGACAAAACTCCTGGATTTCACCTTTCCACTATGAAACAAACAAACAAACAAAAAAAGGGTTGAAAAATTAGCGAAGTGCTGGCACCGTTTAATAAAGAAACAAACTCACGTTTATCTTTCTAGTAGACTTCAAGTTTTACTACTTGTTAATGTGGATCCATTAGGGAATGGGAATGTCTGTTATTATCTGTTCTCCCTCTCTGTGACTCATTATCTGTCCCTAGTACAAAAGACTTGTTGGGTGTTGTCAGAAGATACTTTCAACAATTTCTTAATTACTGGGATATCTCTGAAAGATAAAAGTGCTTTAGGAATAATTACATATGCCTCAAAATGAGTACATCCTCTGCTATGTTGAGTACATTCTTACTAATGTGGAAGGCTGGGAAAAAGAAGAACTAATACAGGTACAAGCATCCACTGATTCCAGCAACAAAGATTGAACAGTTACCATGTGATGGGGTATGTATGACTGAGGCACGGGAGGCAGAGTTAATAAAATAGAACTTCCTGCCTTCAGTGAGCTTCCATTCGAGTGACTGAATCACCACAGACCATGACAACTGCAAAGAGCCATCTCCTGGGGTATTAGGAAGGCCTTGGGCTCCTGTAACTCAGATGCCTGGGCTGGATTTAAAGTTATATAGGCAGTTAAATGATTCCATTTAGTCTTATTTGATTAGTTGTTCATTGACCTAAAAAGAATTATTAGGGTTTCAAAATGTACGGGCAGAGAATTCCAATTGTTCTTTAACATAGCAAATGGGCAACTTTTTGTGGCTGCATTTCCTCAAGCTTGACATACCATCAGAAGTAGAGTCAGAGGTAATGCACTTTCCACAGGAGTTTAATTTGTTCGCTGATTTCTTCCTTTCCTAAATTATTTAGAAGAATCTTTCATAGGCAGCACTAGAGTCAGAACTGTTGTTATTGCTGTTAAGTGCCATCAAGTCGGTTCTGACCCACAGTGACCCTGTAGAGGGTTTCTGAGGAGCGGCTAATGAGCCTGAACCGCTGACCTTGTAGTTCAAACCAAACTTACAGTCCAGCACATTAACCCACAGCGCCACACCAGGACTCCAGAGTCAGAACTAGAAGGTAGATTTTTTTAAAAAAGATTAAGAAATCTTTCCTGCTTTAAGTTACTCTAGCTTCTTTGATATTCAAGGACTTAAAAGTATTTAATCAAGACAAACTATAACTGGGGTTATCGTGAGCCTTAAACTTCACACGGATGTAAAACAGACTCATTAATATCTGTAAGGCCAAAGTCACTATTCATTTGGTCTTAGAATACAAAAGCAAAACAAAACAGGAGCAAGGCTTTTCACCATAAATTATGCATAGCCTGATGCAACATCAAGTAAAAACTCCTGTAAATAAGCAATCTCTTTCATCTGCAGACAAGAACTAGACATGTTGTTATGTTGTTCTTCAGCTGTGTAATGACTCTGGCCTCCCTCTGCACGTCTAGCAATTTTACAAGCATTAAAGACAAGAAAGGTATATTCTTGCCCAAATCTGACAAATATTAGCTTGATTTATATTAGATATACAACAGTACTCAAAATTAAAAGACATTTAGAAGCAAAACAGATCCTTTGATGTGACAAAATTCATATTTCATTGAACTAGCTGTATTTGGAATGTTTAATAAAAACAAGGGCATGGTTCACCTTCAAACACTAATTTCATAATGACACAGAGACAAGTAGTCACATGCCATTACAGAGTTTATATTAGGGAAATGTAAACTAATGAGGACACACAAGATACAAACACATTCCACTAAAAATTAAAACCAAATGGAGAGGAAAAAATCCCAGACCAACCACATAGATGTTTCTTTCCCTCACATTCCTACTGTACCCTGATGTGGTCACATGGGTTACCACTAGGCTTATAATACTGTCTGGTCCCAACCACATCCTCTGTCTTAAGCTTTAGTGTAAGAGGAAGTGTGGGATGCTCTTGGAAGGACTGGATTCTCAATCCTCATAGCACTTAGGCCAGGGCTGAGGATACAGCTAATCACTAATAAATGCTAATCCATGATTAATATGTGACTTCTCTAACTACTTCTATATACTGCCAAACCATTTCCCTCCCTCCCTAGAGCTCTCCCTAAGATCTGAAACTACCTGTACCAGAATCCTTCCTCCTGACCTTTACCTGGTTCCTTCCAGAGCTTCACTAGGTCCCGTTACCACTTACAGAACCTTATTTTTGTTAACCTTCAGACTCCAGGTAGGTGTTTTATAATTCATAACATGTTTACTATTACTGCTTATATTAGTATCTGACATACATCTTATCATAATTCACCTTGCCTCATACATATCTGGAAACACAGCCCTGTTTCTCCAGTGTTTGTTCCACTTTTGTTTCTAATGAAAACTTCTTAGTAAAACAAATTATCTCTATTAAACAGTCATAGTTACATTCATTTTCATATCGGAATTGGAGTCAATTATAAACAAAGGTAAAATCTGGTGGGTGAATGACAGAATAATGGAACAAAAGGAGGGAGAAAAAGAAGCAAGAAAAGGAGACAGGGGAGGAGAGAAAGAGGAAGGGAGGAGGAGGGAAAAATAAATGAGAGAAGTTAAAAATAACTATTTTTAGCTGCATTATTTGTCCCCAAAAGGATAAACATGGAGGCTCTTAAAAGGGTATTTTTGATTCATAGCTTTATGAAATAAAAATGTCAGCAGTTTCATCAACAAGACTAGTGACATGTATGAGTGGACTCCTTGTTTTGGTGTGAGCTTATTCTCTTCGATGTTTAAACTCACAAAACCCCAGCCAGCATATTACAGAAAGTACTTGAGATGCCCAGTTTGTTTCTATTTTACAAATTGTCCAGCAATGAACTGTGTCACTGTCCCCCAATACTCACCTTTTTTAGGACACTGTCCAGGGTTTCTGGTCTACTAATATCAAAGCAAATCAGCACAGCATCAGAATCAGGGTAAGAAAGGGGTCGGACATTGTCATAGTAGGGAGAACCTAAGGGGAAAAAACAAAGACACAAAAATTTTCAGATAAAAATCCCCTTTGCCGGTCAAGCATTAACTCTGCCCTTTCAAGTTAAATCCCTTGAATGTTACATCATAGTTCTACCCTCTTTCTTTTAATCCTTCTAAAAGAATGCAAAGGAATAAACAAAAGCCAGGTTAGCATTACAATTTTTTCTAAGGGATGAGAAGTAAATCTTCACTGATCTGACTTGATACAGTGGGAGGGGAGAGGAGGGGAGAGGAGGAGCCAGGGTCTGAAGTTGAAATGGTTCAAAGACTAGAATCCAAAGTCTCCTTATGATGTTCTGAGAGCCTGGAGATGCTGGGTCTTTAGTACAAATCCATCTCCACCATGGAATGGGGGGATGGGGGGGTGGGCAAGGTAGCTCTGGGACTCTCTGCATCAGTTTCTTCATTTATAAAACATAGATGACAATAATTTCTCCCTAGCATTCAATAAACCCAGACAGTGCTTGGCATTTAGTAAGAAATCAATATGTGGTGTGGTGCTGTAGGTTAATGTGCCAGACTGCAAAGCCGTTTGAAATGCAAGGTCAGAGGTTCGAACTCACCAGCTGCTCCTCGGAAACCCTTTACAAGGTCGCTATGGGTCAGAATCAACTAGACAGCACTTAACAACAACATAGTTAATGTGCTGGACTGCAAAGTTGGTTTGAACTGTCATGTCAGTAGTTCAAGCTCACCAGTCTTTCCTCAGAAGCCCTATAAAGGGTCGCTATGAGTTGGAAACTACTCGAAGGCACTTAACCACAACAGTGGTTATTAATAGAGTCCTGGTGAAGTGAAGTAGGATAAGCACTAGACTGGTAACAACAAGGTAGGTATTTTGAACCCACAGTCACTACTCCAAAACCCTATACAGGGTCACCACCACCAGCACTACCAATTGTTATTAATATTGTGTTGTTGTTATTGTTAAAAGCTGAGTGGTAGCAAGCACCATAAGCTGAGTTACTCCTCCTGGGAACAGTGATCAAAACTCAAGGGTAGTCTCACATAGAAAAGATGGGGCGAAGGAGAAGAGGGGCAGAAGGAAAGGGTACGTTCAGCTATATACCAAGACAACCACCATTATAAACCACAACAATGTCCTGTCCTCTTTCACAGTTACAAATTTGGACAAGCCATTAACCTTCGAGCTTGCTTATTAAAACTTTTCCCTAAATCTTATATAGACATTCTTCCTGTTACAAGCAAAAAATATACTAAGTGCCATATTTGATCATGTCACTCTTTCTTTCTTTCTTTTTTCACATAATTCCAACGCTGTCAGTGAGCCACCATCCGAGGATTTTAGCCCACGTTAAACCCAGGGTTCCCCAAAGTTTCAACTTAAAGAAAAAACAGTTGCTCAGTTGGTTCTGACCCCATGTGTATCAGAGTAGAACCAGAGTAGGTCGGATTCTACTATCTTCCATTGGGTTTCTATGACTGATCTTTCTGAAGACAGACTTTTCTTTAGAGGTGAGCTGCTAACCTTTCTTTCAGCTGGCAGCTCTCCCCAGGAGATCCAAGGGTTTAAATAGCCAGCCAACTGTTCTAGTCCACAGAACTCTCTAGTCTTTAGGAAATTTCTTCTTTTTTAGAATTCTAAAGGATAGGCAGTTTTACAAGAGGTCAGTAATTATAAAGTGGTGTGGCTATAAAATTAAATAGTTTGCCAGCAGCCACTTTTTCCTCAGTATACTGGCATTTCACACTTTCTGTATAACACTTTAAAAATAAGTAAACAAAAAAACCTGTTTTACTTAGATACAAAATACATTACTAGCAATTGGCTCCAGAGTAGAGAAAGAATCTATACCGCCAAAGTCTGTTTGAAATCCAATTTCATTTTGACATCATTTTCCCTTTCTAGCAGAAAAACATGACATGTTGTCCCCTGATAAATCAAAACCTCTACACAGTCAAAGTCTGAGGAGAGAAAGACTACAAAGAATCTTTTAAAATCATCTTTTACATTTCTATCAAAACAAAAATTTTCAAGAGTCTGCTCTTGTGATCCCCAAGTTACTGGTGTTAGGCTGAGTTGCCCTTTATTCACAGACTCTTCTGGGTTCCTGAGACTCACTGAAACCCCAGGCAACACTGTGACCTCAGGATTGTACGACGGATGGAGAGTGACAGCTTAAGCTAGGTAGGCTGGCTAAACTGAGGGAAAAGGAATGTTATCGGAAGAGGAGTGTGAGCAAATAAAGACAATCTATGCCAGTTTTCATGAGCAGCAATAGCTCCACTCCCACATCTGGAAACAGGGTCCCATGGAAGCAGAGACTGCCAAGTGATATAGATAATTTCCAAAAGCTTAAAGGTTTTAGTGTTAGAAAATCGAGTCATCTTAAAGTATGAAGGCAAAGCAGAATGAGGTCACCTCTGAAAATGACAAGCTGTGGATGTCTTTTCAGCCACTTAAAGGAGTCTAAGATTGAAGGATTCATTCACAAACAGTCCACCACTTTCAACATGTTTGAGAGAAGTCAGCAATGATACGGATGAACAAGAGAGACAGATGTATGGGTCTTTCTGTGAAGGTCAGACTTTCTCAATTCCAACCTTTCCTGTTTCTATGTTCAAAGTCTGACTTTTATCCTGTTTATGCTGTAAACATATGGGGATCTCTTCCCAAACACCCAATAAGGAAATTCCAAATCACAGGGGAAACACAAGGACCTGACCTGTCTATGTGGGTTTCTTTCCTCTGCATTTCACAGTACATAAGAAATGACCTCATCCCATAACCATAAAGTCAGATCTTCCTCACAATTAGGATTGTCTGAGACCAGAACAGGCGTCAGAGATTTTCATTCTTGGAAATCACTTACATTAAATAAAACAACTATATCTCTGCAGATTCTTTCACTTTCAAGCAGACCTGAACTTGGGAGGTTGGGAGACGAGAGGGTTTACTGTAAATCTCAGCTAGTTCTAAGACAACACTGTATAATGGAGATCACGGTTTTCAAGTCCCCAAACCAGGATAGGCAGTTGGAGACGTGCAAAGGTGCTAGTGGATTGCATACCCTCCCTTTGCCTACTGTTTCCCATCCCTCACCCATTTATGGCTACAAAGGATCTGGCTTTGTCTCCAACACTCTTAATAGGCTGAGCTGGCTTCAGTGCTCAGTGGGTGTATACACAGATCACTACAAAATGTAGGAAAACACACAGTGAAAATGCTCAGGATAAACAAACTAACACGTTTGTGGACAGAAACAGGCGATTTTCAGAGTTTTAACAAGACCTATTTAGAGTGACATTTTGACCCAGTCCTATTACTTTGCTAATGAAGCCAGCTGCTGTCTTTAGATCACCAAGACTGTCTAAAGGTAGCAATAAAATTCAACTCCACATTTATTAGTTATAAGCATAAATTGCTTAATCACTAGGTATGAAAACAATTTGTCATTACAACTAATAAGAATTCTGAATCAGATATTCTGGAGAGGCTAAAGGGAAACCCTATACAGGGTCACTACTGGTCAGGACAGACTCAACAGCACTTAACAACAGCAGGGTTGAAACTGGTGTGGAGCTGTAGGATCAGCACTGGACTGTGACCACAAGGTTGGGAATTCAAACCACCAGCTGCTCCTGAGAAACCCTACACAATGTGGCTATGAGTTAGAATGAACTCAAAGGCACTTAAAACTTTTTTTAGGGGGATGAGATGAGAGGGTCAGAAAATCTAATATCTTTTTTATTGTCAGAATTTAAAAAAATGTTATCCCATACAAATAGAACACTACTACTAGGGGAACCTAACAGTTCATCAGCTAAGCAAGTCCTTCAACAAGAAAAATCCTGTGTAATATTACAGTTTACTCTGCTGGGGTACATTGAATTCTTCCCTTACTGAAGTCCCTATAATGCCCAAGCATCCAAGGTACTACACAAAGGAGGTATGGAAAGCAAAGGGAGGTTAGTGCCTGGTATAATCATATGCATGTGTGTGATCACTCACAAGCCAGGGGAAAAATAGATGAAGAATTCCAGGAATGCTGCCCATAAACCAGAAACACCACCTAATCCTAGTCATTACACCCCTCCAGAAAAGTTTCAAAATACCATGTTAAGCTAAATAGCACAGAAAAAAGAAAAAAAAAAAAAAAAATGCTTTTGAAAAGTTTCCAGAGATTCTGTAGAACTCAATAGCACAAGAAAGAAAGAGAACAACTTCCCTCTGAATGAATTTACTGAACTTTAACTGCAGTATTGGACTGCTAACTACAAGGTTGGAAACCCAATACAGGGTAGTTATGAGTCAGAACATACTGGAGGGTACTTAGCCAACAACTGTGATACGTAAGTTTGTCCTTATAGGCATTCTAGTTCATATGTGCCCATACCACATATAATTAAAACTTCAACAAGTCTAGGTACTGAGCAACTCTCAGTGTATGGAATGTGCTTCATGCAAGTGAAACTTCTTAGGCGCAGCAGTACACGTCATTTTTCTTACGCTGTATGAAACTTCAAGCACACAACATTGGTTCAAGGTCCATTTTTATTACACTGTTAGACCTCCAAAGGGAAAATCTCATGAAACTCCACATTTTAAAGAAGCAACTACAACACTGAATATGTGCTAAAAAAACAAACAAACATAAACTTAGAGGGTTTTGCTCAGATGTAGATTAAAATAAGTAAGCACCTGATGTCCTCTGAGTTCCTCAAGTTTGGTCAACAGCAGTAAAGTTCTAAAAGGCTTTTAATATTTCAAGCCTATCCATCTTTGTCTTTAAGATCATTAATTCTGGATGAGAGAAAGATTTCTAATCCAAGAATAGTCACAAAGTGCCTCACCCAGAAACTAATTCTTGAGACACATACCTGCTTGCTTAAGTCACTGCTTCACAAAGATAGAACATACCATATATGTACATAATTAAATGCATATGTAAGAAGATTCATGCCCAAAAAGGAGCTCTATAGAAACTTCTACAAAACCAGTTTGAACACTATTAGGTT